TCCTGTTCATATATCTAAAATAAATTATTTTATTTTGAGAAATCTGTTCAGGTCACAAGTTTTCATTTTTCACTTTCATGATCAGAGGTGTATTTCATTATTTCTGGGATTTCATTTGCAAGATCTGGCTTGAGGGATTATTTTGTGAAGGTTAGGCTGGTCCTGAGTTTCATAGAGTAATTCACTACACAGATATAAATTACAATGGTAGCTCTAGGACAAAGTATGCAGGAGGAGAAGCATGGCAAAGTTGAGATGACTTGGATGGGAAACGAATCACAATGCACACTGATAACCGTTTTGACACCTGTTTGGTTTTTTTGTGATGTTCCTGATTGATATATAAATATAGATATATAAATATAGATATACAGTATAAATATAGATATATAAATAAACTAAACTGAATTGAACTGAAATAAATTGAATTGTTCCAGTGGATTCATAAATTTTACTAAAGCTCAACAGAACTTGTTGTTCTTGTAGTGTGTTACTACACGTGACCACTTGTTGTCTTCTCACTACATTATGGCAACAGTTGTAATCATTAATTGTAATTTATTAAGTCCCAGCTCCATAAAGCACACAACAGATGATGGAACGTCTTGGTTTTTCCCATCAATAACTTAAACTCTGTTTTGTTCAGTTTACCCACGTTGGAAAGATGTTTGTGTCTGAAGGTAACCAAAGGTTGATCTAGCATGAACTGATGTCATCATTTTATATGCTGTCTGATTGCAATGAATCCATTTTGTGAAACCCATTTGTCTGTCTAATGTGAAATATACAGTCTTAGTCCAAACTAATTTAAGTTTTAACCATGGATTCATTGCTCAATGACTGCCTGAAAACATCCAGCTGTTTTATTCTTCCTCTGGAAGAGGAAGACTTGGGCTTTAACGTCAGTTTACCCAGGATTTTCTCCAAATAATTCACTGTACTGATGTGTAACGCTGTCAGCTTCATGTGTGCTTACAGCTGGAGGTTCACTGTATCATATCTTCAATAGTTGTATCATATCTTAATAAATTAAACATCTTATTGTTCCATACTTTCCTAACAGAGCACTTTACACATGATGTGGTGCTTTGGATCATGAGCTGGACCAGGCCTTCACCAGACTTTTCTCTTTCCATCATTCTGGTAGAGCTTGATCTGGTTTCATCTGTCCAAAGAATGTTCTTCCAGAACTCTGCTGCTTTTTTACAGGTTTTTATCAAAGTCCAGTCCAGCCTTTTTATTCTTGAGTCTTCTGAGTGTCTTGCAGCGTGCAGTGAAGCCTCTGGATTTACTTTCATGCAGTCTTGTCTTTATGGTAGATTTGGATGTTGATACTTCTACCTCCTGCAGAGGGTTGTTCACCTGGTTGGCTGTTGTGAAGGGCTTTCTGTTCACCATGGAGATTATTCTGCCATCATCCACCACTGTGGTCTTCTGTGGACACCCAGGTCTTTTTACATTGATCAGTTCACCAGTCCTTCCTTTCTTTCTTTCTCTCTCTCTGTCTTTCTTTCTTTCTCAGGATGAACCAAACTGTAGATTTTGCCACTTAAACTCACTAAACTCCTTTTTGACCTGCATTGACCTTGTGTTTGATTTACAATTTTTAGAATTTTTTTCTTGATTTGATGTTGCAATTTTTCATTGCTTATGTTTAATTATGTTTTTCTGTTTCATCTTATTCTTTCCACCATTTTTATACTGTTAATGATTGTACAGCACCTTGTGAATACATCTCTGTGAATGGCACTTTATAAATAAGACCGACCGACCGACCGACCGACCGACCGACCGACCGACCGACCGCTCACACCCTTCATCCAGTTTTAATGTGGATACCCTCAAATGAAAGCTGAATGTCTGGACTTTATGTCCATGTACATTATAGAACTATAACTTGAATATGTTTCAGTAAACAGGTAAAAAGACTAAATTTGTGTCAGTGTCCACATTATATTGACCTAACAGTATACAATATATGTTTCTGCTGGTCTCTTAGGTCAGTTTAGGTAGCTGTCAGTTTTTAAACTCTTGCTGGCTGTAATTTGACAGTAAAAAAAAAAACAAACTTGCCTTCTTTCAGTTTGGATTGAATCAGTCGTACCTTCTGTTTCTGTCTGTTTTTATTAAAATGTTACCTATTTTTCTTTGTCCTGTTTGGTCAGGTCTAATCCCATTAGAAGTGTAGAGAATTTAGTGTGAAACATGAAAAAGGATTCTGTAACGTGACTTTTTGAATTCTTTGGATTAAAACATGGTTCTTACCTTTCCACAAGATGACAGCCAGCAGCTGATGAAATTTAGGGTGGCCCAACTTGCCGGAGCCTCCAGTAGACCATTTCAGAGCTCTGGATACAAAGGCCACTCTCTCTGGAGAGTTCTGGTCCATCAAGCTGAAGAGCTTGGCCAGGCTTTCTGTTCCACAAACAACACATTGTTATTCTGTTGAACGTGTCGATAAATCATGGCTTTACCATAGATCTGTAGTGTTCATCAAGAAGGTCACTAAAGTATTAATGTAAAAAATAACTTCAGTAATAACAACAACATTGAAGGAATTTGCTGTTTTAATACATTCTAACCATATTTAAGACAGTGAAAAGCTAAGATTTCTCAACAACTGGGACATTTACATGAATTTATCACTCAGTGCAGATCATTGTTACAATCTTTGCTACATCTCTTAGAGAACTGTTTAAAATAAAGAGTTTGTAACCCACCTAATATTTCATCCTCTACTTTGGTATCAGACTTTTCCAGAACCTCCAACACCAGCATGGACAGATCTGCTGCACTGTTTTGCTGAAAAGTGAAACACAATCAACTTTTTATTGTCATTTATAGAGAAGTGTGAGTAAACAGAACCTGTCCTGGACGACAAATCAAGTGTGTCAGGTAGATGGTGATGTCTGTGGGCAGGAAAGATCTTCTGTAACAGTTATCTCCTACAAGAAGAAGGCTCAGCACAGACCTGTGTGTGACCAGGTGTGTGTGGGGTCACACACCTGGTCACACACAGACCTGTGTGTGACCAGGTGTGTGTGGGGTCAGACACAGACCTGTGTGTGACCAGGTGTGTGTGGGTCAGACGTCATCATCAGTGCAGCTAGCAGCTAATGTAAAGAGACTTGTTCAGTCAGATGGTTCTGTGAACAAACAGTGTTGACTGTCATCATTAAACCATGAGGACAGACTGACAGACCTCCTCAGACTGGAGCAGGGACGACACATTTCATTAAAGAAGAACCAGAGCACCTACTTAACTTTTTATATTAAAGATGTAATAAGAAACTGGTTTAGAACAGACATGTCCATTCCTACAGAACTGACAAATATTAAATAAACTGAATTTAAAATATTACTGATTTATATTAAAATAAATCATGTTTTATAATTAAATATCTGTTTCCTCCATTCTGTCCTCCTGGTTCCTGATCAGTGGGGCTGGACCCTGTGTCAGTCTTTAGGTGAAGGCAGGGGA